AGATATCACACTTCAACCTTTGTGCTGTAGTCAACATGAATAGTGGAATGACCATGAATTATTTTGGACAAAATCTTTCTTGAAAACCAGTAAAATATACATCAGTTTTGCCCCCAAAGGTTTCTGCCATCAATTTTGAAAAGTGTTTGCTCAGACCTGTTATATTTTTCTCAACAGTCAAGGTCAGGTTAGAGTATGGGCAAGAGAAAACAAAATCAGCCCTCCAGAAATCCTTTTCCATAGACATGCAAAATTGATTTGGTTCGCTTTCCTAATGGATGGAGTTGCAGATTCTCAGCAGGGCCTGTTTACCATTTAGCCCATCAGAGGTGGCAAATGTGGTGGATATTAGATAACAGTAAGGCTAAGAAGCATGACTGCTGGGTAGGCCTGCACATGTACGTGTACCATGGACATTAACATGTGCAAGCCTGAGTGTTCAGATTCAGATTTACACAAGGCTGGATAATATTCATTTTAAGGGGCTTGCTAGTTAATGTCTTCCACACCGGATTTGTCAAACCAGACTTTAGTTTGAAATAGTTGTGAGTCTTGAATACTCATCCACTGGAATGTTGGATGTAAGTTGTCAGTGTGACCATTTTGCCGTCTCCGATATGGAAGTACAAACAGCACACAAACATGGTCTTTGTGAAAACAGGATGGTGGACATTTTCTTCCTCATACTCTTTCTGTAGTGGCAGTGCCTATGTGTACATGTACATGTCACCTGAGACATGAATGATTACAGGCAGACCCTTACGAAGATCTTGATTATTTGTCACAGTTTACTTTCAGACAGTTTAGTTGATTACATCAGGAAGGTGTGTTCAAATTTCATTTTCCATCATAAGGAGGTTGTACATGTATGGTAATTTGAAAATGTCAAAATTAGATTATTTCGATCAGATCCCATTTAACTACATTGTTAACAAACGTATAGGACATGTACATGTATGCAGGAGTAAGTCAGCTTTAGGGTATACATGTACATGTACTTTGCCATGTAACAAAGTTATGTTTTTGTCAACAAGTCATAGACATAATTTTTAAAAATCAGATTCAGATAAGGTGAAAGAAACAGTTGCATAAGACTGTTCAAAAAGTCACATGCTAAACAGCTATGTCAAAAATAAGTCATCTATGGCCAGACATCTGTTGTCCCCATAATCTGTGAAGGCTTCAGAGCCATCCCTGGTTTGAGAACATCATGCCTGACCAAAAGCTGTAAATTGTTGACGTCAGATTAACAGAGTGTATTAGGTGCTTTAAACAGAAGTCAGCATTGCACAGGGGTGGGGAGGGCCTGTTACATGTATGTTATGTACTGCAAGCACTATTTTTCTTCCTCAAAGGCAACCATACCTATCTCTGTTGCGAATAACTTCTGAGGAGAATTTAGCAATCTGATTATGCAAGTTGGCACTGCATCAATCACATTAGCAAGAAATGCTACAAGTTGCCAAAGCCTGGAACTACATGTAGCAATTGCTGAGGGTGAGATTTAAAGGGGTACTGAATGAAACAACAAACAGGCTGTTCAAGTGTTTAGTGCGGTGAAAGAACTTCTTGCAAATTTGACATGAAATATTGTTTTAATCTCAACCTTGTTAGATGGAACACAGTGCAGTATTGGGTATGTAATGTACTGTATACCTGTACATATGCAGGTATATACTGGTAATTTAGCAGTCAACCTACTATGTAACATCATAGACATGGTGCAGATTGTGTAGAGAGTTGTGTTATTCCACTCAAAAAGGCAACAAAAATGCAAGAAGCATTATGATAACCAAACATGTTTTAAATGGAAACATTATACCCTGCTGCCTAATGTATGCATGCATTTCCAGCTCTGTATTACATGCATACATGTATATACATGTTTTGTCATTAGTAGCATTTAGATTTCCTTTAACATCCAAATTACACATTGTGCAGCATCCAAGAAGCACTTACTGTTCTGGCGCACTGCAAAAATTGAATTTTTTTTTCAAGCTGAGATGAGGTTGCTGCATTGCTGAAAGGTTCCAGGACATGTGCATGTACATGTACCAGTACTTGTACCTCATGTGCTTTGTTTTTAAACCAGTCAGAAATCACCACTGTATCATGGTGCATTGAATGTCTTGCCAGTCAAATCCAATCCCTTTTCATCATGTTTATGGTACGAACTGAAGCTTGAGTGCCTGTAGCAGTATCTTTCTCATGAGAAAAGCTTTAATACCAGAGAATATTTTTCTCTTTCATGTGTTCTTTCTGATCTCCTCAAAGGAACTCTTGAAAACCTACCAGCACTTTAGATTAGATCATGTATTGCTGGTGCATGTAGGCTGTTTCTTCAACATGTACATGTACATGCACTATGGCTTCTGCAGAACAGAGAATTGCATTTTGTGAACATAAACGCCACAGTTCTGCCTAACAATCCGCGCACTTGAAGGTTTTACTAAGCAGCCATTGGAGATCAGATGTCATTGTTACGGTTTCATTTACATTTTTGGAAATTGTGTAGCCCTTTATAGTACTATTCACTTTAAGTACCAGGTATTCACTCGTATGCCCCTATGTTTATTTATATCAAATGTCACATGTACATTTATGTAATGTGTACATGTACTTTTGCCTTTGTGTTTTAAATCTTGAACAATCGTGCCCTTGTTGTTTTAATTGTGAACAACACCATTCAAGAAACCACATGTATGTGTACAAACTACATGTATACATATACTGGTACATTTTACATGTACCAACCAAATGCACAAGCTCTCCATGGTATGCAGTTGTAGTAGATTGAATAGCTCACTCAGGTTACCGTGTTTTCATTTTCTGTTTTTCACACTCTGATTTTCTCTATTTATGGCATGAAGAGCACAATGACTTTTTTCCCTCTGAATCTGCTCACGCTCATGTGCAGATACATGACAGAAATATCGGTCATACCGTTATGTCATAATACCAGTACATATTTCATTAAGATGATGCATGGACAGTGGGTATGCACATAATGAAAATGTTTCAGCACCCTTAATTTTTGTTGGTTTTTTGGGGGGACAACCTACCAAAATGTTGGAAGATTTTTGAAGGAATCAGAAACAACATGCTCAATTGATTACTGCACAAAATCAGGTTTGGAAGAAGTCTGAATTTTTCTAAGCACATTATTAGCTTAGTGGTTATGGTCAAATTGGCTATTTACTCAAATTTTTCTCTTAAAGAAAACTGTGCCCAAAATGCTGCATATACAAATGCTATTTTGTAGTGAAATTGGAAAGTTACTCCTGAATACATGTTTAAATGATCACACAACCCAAGTGCAAACATATTCTCTGTTCCTTCCAGTCATGTATGCAAATGATGTCTGCATTGTGTCAAACCCAACAAGTTTTCTTGGTTGGTGCACTGTCATTTCTGAAAGTGTCATGAGCCCAGCTTGTGCACTCCCAGGACTTGATTTAACAGGTAGATTCCCTGCGGAGGTTTACCGCGGTTGATGTGCAGCTCAGCCGAGTGCTTTGCACTTTCGGCCACCTGAACTTCACTCCCAGTCGCAGTTAAGCAATGATTGCTTTTCTGTATCATTTGGCTGCAAAACAGTGCAGTTATTCATGAGGCATGACGCATCCTAGCAGATTTGTGTGTGTGTTTGGCAATTAAACTGGCTAGTTGGCTCAGGGTATTTGAAATTCATATTTTGTCTGTGATGAAAGAGCCATCATGGAAATGTTCAAAATAATTAACTTGTATTTCAACATCGAAGCGTGTTCAAAAGATCCACTCAGTTATTCATTTTTATTTATCAATGCTGCAGCTTTTTCCCTTCAAGTTTGATGCGATGTTATTTCTACAGGGGATATGTGATCACATGTATATGCAAATTCCAGCCATGTTTGTTTACATTTTCCATGTACAAGTAGTTGCTGAAGGTAAAATGCTGATTGGAACCAGCTTATTTGATCTACATGTAACTCCAACATTGGCACGAGTGCATGTATGACAAAGGATATACGAGGACTCTTATTTTGTAGGTGGGCCATGAAAGCTGGAATATGTTTGACTTGAGTGGAAAGAGTAAAAATACAACATGGGCTACATCAAACCAGAGTGTCAAAATTGCTGCACTAGATCTGCAATGCAAGGCAAAAAGCACCTTGACTGTTGTTTTTCCCCAACCCAGCAAGATGCTGAACTAGATTTTTTACTCACTCAATCTTGCCTATCCAGGGTCCATGGAAAATGAGATGTGGATGAATTTGTGTGTGGGGGAAGGGGGATTGAACAGGTTGTTTGCTTGTAATTTAGCGTGGTTGATTGATAGAAGTCAGAGTGGCAGGTTTACCTGAGGGGTATTAACAATTATTCCTTCTCAGGGATTTTTTTCCCCAAAAGTATTTTCTTAGAAATCGATTTACAGATGCTCGAAAAAACATTTAAGCTAATATTTGCTTAAATTGTCCACCACTGTAATGTCACTGGAAAAGGAAACATACATGTACATGTTTCTATTGTATTTGTGAGTTTGTGTTAAAAGAACAATGCACAAAATTACAATTGAAATAGATATTTACAGGTGCCTAAGACAATCAGTAAGTAGCCATGCAAGACTGAATATTTAATTTTTCTTTCCCTTATGTTTGCATGTGACATATAGGTTTTTTTTTGTTTTTTGTTTTGTTTTTGGTAAACACATCTGTTAAGTCATGATGATCTGAATGTAAAGACTAATTTGGATGAATGAATACAAAGCAATGGAAATGTATATAACTATTAACAGTTTTTATTCAGAATATTAGAAATCCCATCAGCAAAACTAGTTTATCCGAGGCTGATGACAAGCAGGGATTATAATTCTCTGAACAATACTGTACATATCTTAGCTGTGAAAAAAAGTGAGGGAAGCACACTGTGCTGCATCTGTTTGTGTGTTCCATAGTGCTTTGACCCAATAGGGGCCTACATGTACATGTACATGTCTATCTTTTTCCTGGATTTTGTTTCAGAATTGCCCTCCCTCTCCCCGGGAAGTGCTGGATGTTGATGTCTGTATGGTACAGGTATAGCCCGAGATTTTCATTTTTCATTTTTTTTCCCTTCACTGACCCCCTTATCTTCAAGGTTCTCCTTTTGAAAGGTCAGAAGAGATGATTCAACAATGTGCGCTATCTAAATGATGTTCCAATTTGGAATGTACCTGTACATCATACAACTGGTGGGATAAGTACACCACAAAGGGTGAAGGATTAGGCAGTGAAATGTCAGACTTGTTGAAAGGTGTTGTGACAAGGCAGTGCATGACAGGTAATGCAGTGTTAAATTGGTGTATATTGATTGCGAAGTAGACAAAATGTTGCCATTCATGTTTATTGACCGAACTTGGGTTAAGTCTCACTGTGAAGGTTGTTTAAATAATGCTGGCAGGGCAAGCATTAATTGGCAGTGGAATGTAATGGTGTGGATTATTTTTTTGTTTTGACTTCTAATGATTACCTCTAGTTAATGATCTCTGTGATGTTGTTCAGTAGAACTGCCTTGAAAAGTCTTTCAAAATTCAGGCCCTGTTTGGTTAAAATATCACCTGGCAACCCCCTCCCCCCAACGTTTTAGCTGTGAGCAGAGAAAGTGCATGCTATAACTGTCACTTGCTGTGTACAAATAGCTCTTGTGAAGTATACATGTACCCTCACCTTGGTTCAGCTTCCTTAAAATTGATAAGCGCAACATTGCATTTGTACAGCCAACCAAAGAAGTTATGTTAGGTGAGATTTGTTGTATGCATTACAAGGTCGTCCCTTCATGACCTTGGAGCATTTAGATTTGGACCTGCTGAGTTGAGAAGGGTGAAAATATTTGTTGGGGCAATAGAATAAACAGCTCAATTGACAATTGACACTGTGAACTTTGTGGAATATGACTCCCCACACAATGGGGCTCCAGACAACATGGATGGGAGAATTGGGTAACCAGTGCATGCATGGGATGAAAGGAGGCGAGGGGCCTGGTGCAGAACCACTCAGTCATCCTGCAGGTCGCCCTGTTGATCATAAGGGTCGCTGACTCTTGCATAATGCAAGAGGTCAAAAGTAGTTCCGGCATGTACCAACACAAGCTGGGCGAACACTACATGGACATGTAGGCGCATGTAAACCTTCCATGTACAATTCATACACGTGAACCTTTTCACATTCTGAGTGAACATTGTGCCAACAAACATCCACACGCAATACAAACAATTAGTGCAGGGATGTGTGGCTACCACCAGCTAGTTTCTGAGAACTTAAGTACAGTACATGTAAATGCTGTGGCCTGGAAGCAACACCAACATCATTGAATGTTTCCATGTTTCTGTATCAGTCACTATTGTCTATTGACGTTTACATTTTCTCAATGTATTCATTGACCAACTATCATCTACTCTATGGGTCTTTAAATGTGTGAGAGAATGGCAAGTCATTGATGAATTTCCACTGGCTGGATTATATCGATTTGTCCCCTGACACAGGGGGACTCAGCACAACCTCTACAGAACAGTGTGACCCTGGGCTTTGCCAGATCCCCCTATTGTCCCTGGCAATTGTGTTTGTCACGATAATCTAACGCCAGACTGATCAGATGAGGGGACCATTGTGTTTGGGTTATTCTCCTTCAAAAACCCAGGATGAGTGTCACTCCACAAACAAGAGCACTTCAAGGTGTACCCCTTGCTTATGGGGAGATTTTCTCTCTACCAGATTTCAGTCACTGCTTCCCGAACCAACTGATCCCATTATTGTCCCGCGGTTTTTGTGGGGATTCTTGGTTTTTCCGAGAAGTGCAGTCAATTCTGTCCAGTCCGTATATTCTGTTTCTTTTCTTTCATTTTTTTTAAATGGGGATACAACAGATGAAAGATGTGAAGCTGTGGTTTGATTGTGATGAGCTTGTTGCAGAGTGAAGTGGAAGAATTGATAGTGAGCTGGCATATCACATGGTATTGCATCTCTTTAAATTCCCTTTGAAAGGCTTAAAAACACAGCTGATATCATTCAGTTTGATTTCAGTAGTTGTCCCACAGTTGACCCTGACATGTTGTAAAGGTGTGTGAATTTGTTGACAATTTTACTTCAGCACATTGAGGCACCGGTAATTGAAAGACGGAAAGCTGCTTTTTGCTCAATCTGCTCTATGGGCACTGTTTTTTCATTGTTCACCTCAGAATGTACGGTAACATCTTACCCAAAACATTCCTTGTAGCCCACACTGCCAGCACTAGTACTTCAAAGCTGGCAAGGGGTGGGGTGGCTTTACAAGAACTTTCATCTGTTAATCAATTTGATGCTAAGTCAGCAATATCCCAGTTTTTGTTTGAAGAAGCTTGCTTCAATTACTGGTCTTGAATTTCATGTCAGGCCAAATGGTACCCAGAAACGGTAATACATGTACTTGTAATACCATAGTTTTCGCATGTTTGTAACTACCTGTACATGATGTACCTTGTATGTATATGCAATACTTGAATGGATCTCCATCATGTGATTTGTACACGTAGGTTACTGATCAGATTGAATAATTCCCTCCAGTGCATGGCCCAGCCCCAACTATAAGTTTCATTCCACGGTAAATGAAAGCTCCATTGCATGGTCACAGCACTGTAGGTGCCATAACATGGTTCCTGACATGAAATGGTGGAGGTTGAAAAATGTGCAAAAAAAGATACCACTTCTAACAGAAATTGAAACTGCTGTAGACTTGACTGCCGTGTCATGTCTCTGAGAGACATTGATTTAGTGAAGAGGTAGACTTATTCAGGCGTACTCTATAAATCATAAATGTTTCATGTTTGTGCACTGAATGAAATCATTCATTTGTCAACAGATGACATGCTCAGTTCCACCTGTCACCTTATGGGAATTCTTACCCTTGCAATCGTAAACATTCATTACTTGTACAATGGCACAGTGTGATTATAAATGACTAAATTATGATGATGACATGTTGTAAAACAAGTAGAAGGGTTTCTTTGAGATACTCCACTCTTTAACACTTTTCACATTCGTGTACATGTACATTTACTTCACATCCAACTGCATCTTCAAAATTGCATGGAAATCAGAAATAATCAGTCTCTTTACTTCTTCAGTTAAAAAAAGTTGAGACTATTTATACCAGATCATAATAAAACAAGGGTGTTGTACATGTACAAGCATGTACATGAACTGGAAGCCTGTGCATGAATAAATAAGGGCCTCAACACTCCCACCTTCACTGGCAAGCATATGCCCTAGGGCATTCAACCCTGTTATGCCTGGCGTCCCATCCGCAGTGGTACAGTGCTACAACACTTAGGCACGGAGTCTATGGATGCAGTGCGAGTTACCAGTACATGTACATGTACGTACATGACATGATTGTGGGAGTGCACGCCTAGCCTCTACACCATGGAATGCACAATATGTGTCAAGGGTCTCCCTGCATTACAGCTAGTGCTAGTAATAGACCTTGTGTGAAAGAGAGCCAGATAGCTTGTCTATCCAGTACCCATTGAATACACAGTGGGCTTTTCACCAGCACTGCGCTAACAAAGACGGCCATGTTTGTCTGCTGCCAGAAACAGCTGCTGACTGCATAAGTGTAAGGCTTGATGATTTGCTATGCATTTTTTTCTCTACAGGCTCAAATTGTGTACCTCGTTGCTGGGCAGTACAGTAATGTGTATGTATATTTCTTGAACATGTTGAAACAAGATGTTTGATCTGTTGGCCAGAAAATGGTTTATTGGCCTATTTTCTCCTATGCTGATTGCTGATTGTTTATTGGTGTGTGATCATGGTTGATTTTTTTATTTTATATTCTATTCAATGTTTCTCTGGTGTCAGGCCACATCCGGGCAGGGTCATGTTGTGATGTTGGTTAAGTCTGGGTGTTTGTGACTTATCTCTCTTCCAATCTCCATCCTGACTCCTCCAATTGGTGGAGTGTTTGTTTTTCCAAGCACAGATCGCACCTTCGGACTGAATCGTTTTGTAGATCATTGATTTTATTCCCCAATACAATTTTGCCTGATACTGTGAATAGTCATCTTGTATTTGTTCCATTCTTCAAGTTGTAATTGCTCTGTCCACTATGGGTTAAACTATAACTTGAAGTTGGTCATGAAGTTCAAGATGATCATTGGTGATTTCTGCTTGGCTAGGAGTCAGTTGTTGCTTCATGCAGGATGGGCTTTAGGGTTATTTTTTTATGCTCTTGTTTCTGATTCGAATTTATGCAGCAGTTCAGTTTGTGATCATTCACTCTGTGACTAGTGGTGTGCGTTAACGGGTATTTTGGGAACCAGGTACCCTTTTTATGTCGGTACTGGGTACCTTTAAAACATTAAGAACCCTTATCTTATGGTATTGCTCGCAATTCCAGTGGACCATATGCCCAAAACTGGGCACTTTTCATGAATGCACATGTGTACATGCTGGAAACAGCACATTGTTCTAAATATTACTGAGGGGAATCTCCACCTTTTTATTTAACGGAATTGTTACCTTTAATTTATGACAAAAGTACAAATGTAGCTCCAGCAATCTCTGAGCTGGAGTTATGACTAGGGGACCAGGTTTTCAGCAGCATGATGATTTTTCAGTAATTCTGCCCTTCTTTATTTAAGTTCACGTACATTTTTATACATTGACCTATTTCCCTGGCCGAAAAAATGGAACCGGGTTTCGATATCGATGGGTGGGTGCCCAGGTACTGGGCACAGGCCTAACTTTGGCAATTTCCCAGTGACTTAATTGTTTTTTGGATTTGTGTGTGTGTGTGAAAAGATTAGTTAGCATAAGTAATAACAAACGCCAAGAATTCTTGCAATCACTTCGATGATAGGATACTTCCAGCAGTGGGACTGGCAAGTCTTTGTTTGACCTTTGGAATGCATGACCTCTGAGAGTCTCACAATGAATGTATGCAAAGGCCTGTGACAACAACCTCTCAAGGTTGGATCAGTAATGGTTACATGTAATATCAGGTGGTAATCAATATTGTAATATGACAGATCCAGAGTGTTGTGGTAATGAAATAAATAATCTTTGAAAGACTACATAATATATCCTTGTACATGGAGCTGGAAACATAAGGTGTAAAATATTGATATGTTTTTGCAATAGCTGTGCGAAACCTGCAGAAATCTAACAGAACTCTTCGGGCATGACAGAAGGCCTTTTGTACTCTGACAGTGTTTAATTTGTTGGGTCTTGTTTATCACAGCAGGGCTCTGCCCCTACTTTGTAACCAAATCCACACAAAAGATTAAAATGGCATTTACAGTGAAGACTGTACTAGAAGCACACATTCGTGCATAGCTGGTGTTCTTTATAATGCAGTTTTTTTTCCAGCTGGCATTTTCTAGCTACAAAGGCTATAACTCAACTTTGTGTTCTGGTTCGGGATTTGAAGTGAGACAGCGGGGAAATACACACCATTTAGCAGATGTAATTTATTTGTTGTGCCAGGCAGTCCTGTACTTAATTTTTATGAACATGAATGCTTTTCTGAAAAGAAAAGCAAGCAGTTTGCCTGGTATTGGTTTAAACAGGCAAATGAAATTTTATTGTGTCTGAGGAACATTTGTTGCTGCTCAGAAAGGTCTGAGGGCAATGAAATGGGGCTTCCGCCAGTCTCATTGTGTTGTGGTTGGCAGAATAGGGGGGTCAAAGGGTTAATGTTGTGTTCCTCAGTGCACAGGAAGTCTGGGAAATCAAACTTTTTGCTAAAAAACCTTGGGGCAAAGTTAACCACAACACTTTCGATTGGATGGTTTGAATGAGCCCATCCCCCAATTTGTGGAGTGGCACCAACTGGGCTATTTCTGGTCGCAAAAAATGTTGTGAGGCACAGCCAAAATGCGCTGCTTTTAATTTTTTTTAATAAGATGGTAAGGACATCACCCACCCTCTGCCCTTTTGGGTTAGGACATTTTTTTCCCCAAGATAGTGGGACAGAGTCATTGGGGCCACTGTTTGATCTTGGGTTAATGAACTCCGGCTGTTGCTTTGCCACCTTGTGGTTTACAGTATCCTGGTCTCATCAGAGTGGAGTAAATAAACCATGTGGATTTTTTGACCTGTGGCAACCACAGAGTTCTTGGCATATGCCACATTGAAGCAGTCATCTCTTTGGATTATATAGCATTTGATTTGTTTGCCATTGTTTAAAGATCGTGAGGGATTTCACTGCATAAAGAGCTGTCTTTTTG